TCATCAGATGGAGCCCCAGCAACAGCTCTGTCATCAGATGGAGCCCCAGCAACAGCTCTGTCATCAGATGGAGCTCCCCCAGCAACAGCTCTGTCATCAGATGGAGCTCCCCCAGCAAGAGCTGGGCCAGAAAATGAAGCATGCGCAAGTCAATGGCATGTTTACAAGTTGGAACCCCACCCCTCTCGTGCCTTTCAGCTTTCCTCAGCAGGAACTAAAGCATTATAATGTCTTTTCAGACTTAGAGGGGGCTGTTGAAGAGTTCCCCTACAAATCTGAGGTGGACAGTGTGCCTTACACACAGAGCTTTGCTCCCTGTAATCAGTCTGTGCTACCCCAGCATTCCAAGTGTGCACAGTTGGACTTGCCTGGAAAGGGTTTTGAACCACCCCTGCACCCCAATACTTCTAACTTAGGAGATTTTGTCACTTGTTTACAAGTTCCCGAAAACCAAAGACATGGAATAAATCCACAGTCAACCATGGTCACTCCTCAGACATACTATGCTGGGGCCATGTCCATGTACCAGTGCCAGCCAGGACCTCAGCACATCCCTGTGGACCAGGTGCAATACAACCCTGCAATTCCAGGCTCCCAGGCATTTCTAAACAAGGTAAGGGCTTTCAGAGCTGAATAGACCTGTCAGACCTAAGTGACTCCATGTTGTCTATGGTGTTTAAACATACTATCAAACCCATTTAGATAGCAAGTGACTTCAGAACTGCTTTTAGTATATTTATGTTCACATAACTTTATTATAATTTACTTAAAATAGGATGAATACATTATTTTAAATAATTTTCTTAACAGGTTGATGTAGACATAATTTAATAGCTGTTCTCTCTTGTCACTCAAGGGTATATCATGCTCACACTATCAGATTTCTGTTAGAGAATATTAGTTTATTAGAAAATATACTAGTTTAGCTTCTAAGAATTTCTTGACTAACATTAAGTTCATTGCCCTGTTTGAGTGTGGCTTGAATCTCAATTCTGACTGTTTCTTCTAGATTGTTACTATGTCTGCTTTATCTAATTTTGTGGGATGTTTTGGTATTTTTAGTGGAGAATAATGTTTTTCTTCATATTTTTCCTGATAAGCTTCAATTCCATTAAAATTTAACATTCATCATAAAGAAAATTGATTAGTCATGCATTTGCTAGATTTTATCCATAAAAGAATGGGATATTATCATTGGCCTCAAAGTGATGGATCTGGAGGACATTATAGAATACTGAGAGCAAAACTGCTGATTATATCCACGTGTGGAAACTTCCAAGGCTGATTTCTCAGACACTGGAAATGGCAGCAGAATGGGGCTGGCTGATGGGTACTAATAGACAGACAAGAATAACAGTAGGATGACAATAGTTAGCAATAATTCACTGTATGATTTAAAGTTCACTACAGGAAGGAATCTAAATGTTCCTAATATAAATGATAAATGAATATACATATAAGTAACTACATTTTGGACCTGGAGAGATAGCTCGTCAATTAATGCTTGCTCTACTAAAGGTCCTGTATTTGATTTCCAGCTCACAATTGTCCATAATTCCAGTTCCAGGTAATTCAGTGCCCTCCTCTGCCTCCTTGAACACTGCACCCTTGTGTCACACATGTATACGTGTGGGGAAACCACTCGTACACATAAAATTTTATGTTTTAAATAATGTATTCATTTTTTGAAATTAAAATATAATTATATTTTCCCCCTTCCCATTCCTTCCTCCAACCTTTCCTGACTATCCACCCTTGCTCTCTTTCAAATTCATGGCCTCTTTCCTTAAATTGTTTCTTGTGTGTGTGTGTGTGTGTGTGTGTGTGTGTGTGTGTGTGTGTGTAAATAAATATAACCTGCACAATCTGCATATTACTTGTAGATATATGCCAGCCCTGCCCAACAACTCAAAAGGGTGCTTCTCCTGCCTGGTCTTGGGTGAGTTCAAAGGCAGCATGGAAAACAGTGAGGCACAAAACAAAATTACAAAAAGTCAAGAGTAAAGCTCAGTGGCAGAACAGGCAGTAACATGCAATAGCTGGGCCTAGAAGGTAAGCAAGGCCCTTGCCAAGAATCTCTAGCACTACAAAATAAATGAGTGTATTTGAAGCAGCTACAGGGATAATTTTATGATTTTTATCTTATTTTTATTTTATTTTATCAACCATACACTATAATGTGAAAGTTCTATAGACTATCAGCTGTTACATTTGTCCTTTGTTTTTGTTTTGTTTTGCTTAGCTGTGCTGAAAATGAGACTAGTTTTGGTGTAAGAAGGCAAGTGTCTTAGTTATGGTTACTATTGCTGTTATGAAATGTCATGACCAATAGAAGTTTGATGAGAAAAAGGGCTTATTTCACTCACAGTTCCATGAAACAGTTCATCATCAAAAACAGTAGGGGCAGGAACTCATGCAGATGTCTTAGAGGAGCGCTTCTTACCCACTTGCTTTTCGTAGCTGGCTTAGCCTGCTTTCTTGTAAAACCCTCACAATGGGCTGGGCTCTTCCACATAAGTCACTAATTAAGAAAATGCCCTACAGGCTTCTGCCTACACCCATATATTATGGAGGCATTTTCCCAGTTGAGGCTCTCTCCTCTCCAATAACTTTAGCTGAGTCAAACTGACATGAAACTAGCCAAAACAACTGACCCTTTGTCAACTTGACACACAAAATATCAGTTTTAAATTCAAACCTTTCCTTTCTCATTTATTCCTCAAGATGGCACATACAATATAAAATATAAATGACTTTAAAAGTCCCATGATCTTTACAAATTTGAACACATTAAAAGTTCAATTTCTTTAAAATATCCAATATCTTTTAAAGATTCCAACTCTCTTTTAAATATTCAAAGTCTTTAAGCTGTGGGGTCCTGTAAAAATCAAAATAAAATTAAATACCTTGTAACTTCAAGAGGGCAGAGCCAGATCACAGTCGCAATACAGCCAAAGCAAAACCAAACTCCAAATGTCTAAATAGCTTAGTGTCCAATGTCTGGGATCCACTCACAATCTTCTGGGCTCCCCAAAGGCTTGGGTCACGTCTCAGGCTCCATCATCTGCAGCCCACACAGCCTGTCTTCTAACATCCAGCAAGCTCCACTCCATTGCTGCTGCTGCTCTTGTTGGTCATCCTATGGTCCTGGCTTCTAGAAGATGCTGGAGTCTTCTGCAATGGGGCTGTGCTTTCACCAGTAGTCTTTCATGGCCTTTCTTCAGGGTGCCCAGTCCATGACCCTATTTAGTCATGGACCTTTAACTGCCATTGAGGTTGCACCTTCATGATGGCCTCTCACAGTGCCAATCCTCAACTGTGTCCATGGCCCCTTCATGACTTCAAAACCAGAACCACCTGGGTGACTCTTGGACTACCAGGTTTGGCTGTTAGCACAAGGTGAAACCTTGACTGCCTCTGGACCACAGCTTCTCTGTGCTCCCAGGAGACACTTCCCAGAAGATGTCACCTCAAAATGCTGGTCTCTTTTTGATCACAGCTGACTCTTCAGCCCTAATTGGCCTACCGTCCAATCATTTTCCCAACTGAGGTTTCCTCTTTTTTCATGAGTCTAGCTTGTATCAAGTTGACATAAGACCAACCAACACAGCAAGCTAACATTTTCAATTTGGTAACTTGCAGAAAAAGTTAATGAAATTAGTCTTACAAATAAATTCATTAAAATCATACACATAATAAACATAAGAACACCAAGAAACTGGGCAAAAGTCTGGTATCTGAAATGCAGTATAGAGGTTCTGGGTATAATGAGTTCATTGACTCCAGCTTCCTGATTGCGGTGATGGGAGGCCAGAATAACCCTCTGATACCCTATGTCACATAATTTCCAAGCAGGTCTCAAGACAGAAGAAATGAAATAGATGTAACATTCTTTATGCCATCTTGAATTTATCTCATAGAATTAATGGGGAAACCTGATCTTCTAAATGAAATCAGTACGTGATCACATCTCTGTATGACCTGAATGATGAAGGAGCAGCAGAGGAATGTAAAGTAGAGCAACGTGCAGATGGAAGGGTCTAGAATATGTTTTTAAGGAGTTGTTTAGTGGATCTTAACAAGATGCTCTGCTGTTTTTGTTTTCAGTTCCAGAACCAGGGAGTGTTAAATGAAACGTATTCGTCCGAATTAAACAGTGTTGGCCACAGGCAGAACACTGCTCATCTTCATCATCCAGCAGAAGGGAGGCCGTTTCCTGATATCACACCCGGTGGATTCCTGTAGCTTTAGGAACAAGATACTGGAACTGTCCGTGTTGGCCATCAGCACTTTTTTTCCAAACCAGATTTCAATCTTTGTGTTGAGAAAAGGAGTTTAAAAACTGTTATTGGTTACCTATAAAATGGGAAGCTCTGCTGGAGCACTGGGAGACGCCACATGCATTTTCATAGCTTTAGCTATGCACTCAGCGTGCACAGTGCTCACTGTGGAGAGCTTTGGGATTCTAGAAAGCTGAGCTCTGCTCAGTGACCAGCCAGAAAGACTGAAGTTTTTTGAACTTCAGGATTCCTGATAGTGTACCAAATACAGTTACAAGACTAATTGATTTCCTATTTTTTTAACCTCTCTTTGTCTCAGATGTTAGAACAAATGGTTTGGTGCTTTTATCAAAAGAGAAATCTCAATGTTTTCCTTCTGCACTGTTAATATAAGTGCCTCACTTTCTTTTCAGTCTACCTGTAACACAGTAGGGTGTGTATTTTATATAAAATGTTCTTTATCTTTTTTGAATTAATGTTCTTTCTGCCCAGAAATGTTACTGGCATTTCTGAAATCCCATCATTTTTATCAATTCAGGCATGTTTTTACTGCACTACTTGCCCCTTTTTTCAGATAAAGAGCAGATGATGACTGAAAGATAACTATTTATTATGTAATATACTTGCTTCTTGACTTTTGATGTTCCTCTGTGCCTTATGTTGAAAATTTTGAAAATAACATGTTACCAAAATTATTTAATTATTGCATAAATATTAAGGCAGTAGCACTTACATTTTAACAGTGTTTTCTGAGAAGTGGCATTCTGAGAGTGCCACCATTTGCTTTCACTGAAACCTCTCCATTAATGATACCAGAAAGCCCCCATGTAAAATGCTCAACCTCCATAATGATACCAGAAGGCCACCATGTAACACACACAAGGCAGCCATGTCCACTAAGCTGCAGGGAAGGGAAGTGGAGTTTGTTTAGCTCTTTGGTTAAATTAAGTAAAGCACTCATTTCATTATGTATAAATTGTCTTTAAAAACTATGTTAGGTCTGCAATCCTTGTTGTTATATTGACTTTATAAATTTCACTTCTTATACTAGTGGAAGCTATTGGTTTTTCTCATATTTGAGGAGTGTTAAGATTGAAGTTGCCATGTTTGGTACAAGGTATTTTAATGAATGAAATGAATGGTGCATTGTATAAATATAACGAACAAAATAATCTGTAAAATATTTTCAGTTTTCATTTAGGAATAGTCCTTACATCATCTGCATATTTTTCAGTGTATCTCATTAAGAAATCAGATAATGAATTGGGGCTTTTGAGCTGGTATTAAGATAAAGATAAATGTGACTTGTTGACCTCCATTTTGTATTTTGCTACCAATATGTCAAACTCGTCGCTTGGCCAAATTTATTGTTCTCAGATGGCTTAAAAAAAGAAAAATACTGGTGTCTGTCATTGTTTTTGTCATTTACTTAGATATAATATATAAAGGACATGGACCTGTTTTCATATATTGTATAAAAATATGATGAGATCCCAAACTGAGATGTAGTATTAAAATACTTAGTGGTTCTTAGTCTGCAGGCCTCTTTGGGGGTCAAACATCCCTTTCACAGGGGTCACCAAAGACCATCAGAAAACACATATACTTACATTACAATTCATAACAGCAGCTAAATTATAGTTATGAAGTAGCAACAAACTAATTGTATGGTTTGGGGTCACCACAACATGAGGAATTGTATTAAAGGGTCACAGCATTAGTAAGGTTGAGGACCACTGAAATACTGGCTCTTTTCTTTTTCTTTTAGAAAACTAATGTATGTAAACATGGCTTCAGGTAAAAAGATATCCCAATTTTATGCATTTTCAGTCAAAATTCTTTAAGAATAAACATTGAAAAATGACTGTCTAAAACATTTCACAATTTGCTTCCAGCATGAGGTATCACTAAGGATTAAACTTTTCATTAAAAGTTGTCATAGAAACTATTGTGTTAGTCTCTTCTACATGTTAACAAATGGTCAGTTAAAAAATACTTTGGACATAGTAAGTATGGTGGCATTTAATTACATACTTATAAGACTAAAAGTTTTAAAAGCAATATTGTGTATTTTTACCTATATAAAATAACTAAAACGTCTAAGAATAATAAAATCACATTAAACTGAATATGCATTTGTCTGTATTGCTAAATGCCCAACAGAAGGAACGACCAAAGCACTGCTGGACTGAGGAATTACTTTTAGATGAAATTCACATCTAAGGCTATGTGTATGTGTGAGTGGAGTTCTTCCTCTCCAGGTGTTGTTTCTTACATACATGAACACTTACCAATATGTCATTGTAGTAACCTTTCAGTTGTTACTATGCACAAGCTAGCTTGTTTCAGTATGAATAGATTTTAAGTTTACATAGCTTCTTGCTATCCTTCAAACTGTTATTGCTTACATATGCCATGCATAGATTTTTGTTTACTAAAGTATGATTTATAATACCTTTAAATGTTGAAGAAAATGTAAACATGATATATGATAATAAAATAACCACAAAGTATGCAGAATGTTTTCTTAAATTCTTCTTTCTGTCTGTATAAAGGAAACAGGGCCCTGTACCCTCACATGATTGCTTGATGGAGGTAGTCTCTGTAAGAAGACCAACACCAAATCTTTCAAGTAAAAGTCATTTAAATTCTCTATTTGATCTGAGAAAATTCAAGTTTAAAAGTGGTGTCCCCAACCACTATTGTGTTTATTTTGGCAGCCACACATGACAGCGAAGTTATGGAGTGGACGCCGACACCACCGAGGTTAGGCTAGTCCACTCTGTGATGTGATGTGTGCACATCAGAACAGTCTGCATCACATTTCTTGCAGTATATCACTGCATAATGATACATGACAGTAATCCTTCTGATCTCTGTTTGCACTCAGTTCAGTGGCTTCCTTAACTAAGAATGATCCCAGCTTACCACATCTCACCAAGACTACTGACCCAAGGATGATGGTCACGCCACAGCACTGAATGATAGTTACGATTCCTGTCTTACATTTTGCAAATGACCTTGCTTCCAGTTTTCCTAATAAAATTGGTAGCATTGCCAATCGTAACCTATACCTTCATCATTTCAACATTTACCATGCTTAGTCTTTGCTTTCTTGTAATACATAGGAGGAGGGGTTCCTAGACCTGACCATCTTTTTTTATTCTTTGGAGTTAAAACTAAGCTTCTATGCTTTTCTCTTTTTAATCTCTGGCTTCTGTGGCTCTCCCTGTGAACAAGTTGCCATCAAACTGGGAAAGCATGGTCGTCTGTCTTCTTCATTTGTTCTCTCTTTGCCTTGTTCAGAAATCGTCTCTTTGCATCCAGAGTTCTTCCTTCTGGGTTACTGGGTCACTGTGGTTCATTTCAACTCTTTGCACTATTTTTTTAAATGCCAGAATTATATCTTTTATTTTCTATCATGTAATTTTAAACCCCAAAACATCAATAGCTGATGGAACAAGCCATTCAGCATGAAAAGACAATACTAAGCTCATGTCTGCAGAGCAGTCCATTGAGGTGATGGAATACAATGTGCCATTCTAATATCAAGTCCTCTTTTGTTCTTGGTAATGACAGTTCAAGTGTGTTTTTAAGATTTTTCACTTCTAACCAACAATAATCAAAATGAGTTATGAGGTAATCTAAGCACCACAAGATAATTTTAAAACACTAGATAAAGCACTGTATTAAAGACACATAGAAATCAGGGTTAACTTTGGTCTGTATATGGTTGGAGTTGTTACCACCACAAAATCAACACATATGAATTAAAGCCAGCTTGATGGTGGGTGCCTGTGGTTTAGAGGTAGTCAACACCATCCTTTTTAAGCTGGGAATTGACAAATGGTAAGCAACGGGTCTATTAAGTATTGGAATACTTTCTCACAGTACAGGAGTTTGTTCCAAGTATAAGGTCCATACTGAGTCATAGGTCACCCTGTCATTCTATCCAAACAACTAGGTCACAGCTCACACAGGCACGTCTCAAAGAGGCTGTTGACTATGTAAGACAGAACTGGGTGCTTTATTTTTAAAAAGCAGCTAAAATCTCCAAATGGTTTTCATACACAGAATAATGGTCAGCTAAATATGTTTTTATTTATTCATAACCCCAGCTTATGTGAATTTGGTGGCAAGGGACATATTGTAGATGTTACTGAGTTCAGAACCTAGGGATGGGAAGGTGCTATGGACTAGATCTTAAACATCCTCCAAGTCTTTTGTTGAATGCTTGCCTGCTCGCTTATGCTGTATTGAGAGGTGATGAAGATACGCTTAAGAAGGAAGACATTGTGGGAGGATATTAGGCACTGAAGATGTGTCCTAAAAAGAAACTTAAGACCACAACCCTTCTCCTCTTTCTCTGTGTTTCCTGAGTCCAGTGAAATGAACAGACTTTTATTTCTACCTTTCTCTCCTGAAAGCTTTACTGAGCAGTGACAGGGCAAAGAAACCATGCATGGAAACCCTGGAAACCACAATTTATTCCATCTCTCTTAAAAGAAGGCTGATAGCTGGGCAGTAATGGTGCACGCCTTTGATTCCAGCAATCGGGAGGCAGAGGCAGGCTGATGTCTGTGAGTTCAAGGCCAGCATGCTCTACAGATTGAGTTCTAGGACAGCTGGGGCTGCATAGAGAAACCCTGTTTCAAAAAAAAAAATAAGCAAACAAAAAACAGAGACAAAGAGAAGGCTGACATATAGACTGTACTGGATTACCTGGAAAGACTCAGTGTAATCACCAAAAGTTCTTTCAAGAGGAAGGTTGGAGAGTTAGTAGAGAGGGAGAACAGAAATAAAAGAGATCAGGAAGTGTTAGAAGATGCTATGCCGATACTGTTGAAGATGTAAGACTGCATACCAAAGAACATAAAAAGGTCCAAGAAGATAGAAAATTTGAGAATGTAATTCTCCCCCAGTGATTCTAAAAGAAGCCCAGCCTTGCCAATGCCTTGACTTCAGAGGTAGCATCTTGTAATTCATCTGTTCTCAACCTGTGGCTGTTAGCCCTCTGTTCACATATTAGATGTTTACAGTTTATAACAGTAGCAAAATTACACTCATGAAGTAGCAATGAAATAATTTTATGGCGGGGTTCACCACAATATGAGGAACTGTATTAAAAAGGCTCACGTTGGGAATGTAGAGAGCCACTGATCTAATTCCAGCAAGGTAACATTTGTATTGTTCTGAGCCAATAAATGCAGTAATTCATTAGAGGAGCCATTAGAAACCAGCAGATATGTTT